CCCCATAGATATCCAAAATAAATCGTTAAAATAATTTCTGAATGCAAAACAGAGGATTTAATCCCGGGGATGAAGAGACGATGGGCAGCTGTATTTCCCGTCCAGAAAAGGGCTGAGAGGTTTAATTTTCAATCGTCGAATGCCAGTCGATTTCGATTTGATATGATCAAAGCACATACCCTCGGTGATTTTTATTGTGAGTTTGTCTGGCCTTTTTTTGTTATATCCTCTACCAACTTCTATTTGTTTCACCTCTCTCTCGTGTGCACGATTTATAAAGCAAACACCATCGGAGTACCCTGCAATCAAGAGTACATATATACGGTGGAAAAGGAGACGTGGGGGATTCACCTCGAACATCGCGGCGCGTTAGTGTGTGATGGCACGGCTATCGCGCCAACCGATCGCCAACCTTTCTCTCAGCACCCGTACTTAGCCCGATACTCCACTCCATTTCCACCCCAGGGAATAAATTAATAGTTCTCAAGACCATTCCTATCGGTGTATATGTACCCAGGGGGATTAATCCGTATGCCCGAGAAAAAGGATATCCAACTGTACGTCTTCAATTATATTCGCCATCGGCCATTGCATTCCACCCTTTCCATTTATCGTGTGTGAATTCACACCGGAAAAAAATACTTTTTAAGAAGTACATCTTCACTTGCATTAAGAGATCCTCTAAACTTTCCAAAAAAAATTTCACTAAATGAGATTTTGCACTGAGTCAAATATTTTACTCGAGGGATTTAATACCCGACATTTTATAAATATGTAGGAAATATAAATAAATATATTCTTTATGACGCTGTTATACGTCATCGCTATCGTATTAATTTTTTGTGATTATTGAGACGTTAAAAAATATAAATCATAATTAAACTTCAAAAATTCAATTATTTGTTTAAATAAATTTCTTCAATTCAATATTTGACGCGTCCAATCACGTAATTGTTTACGACTATTCATCGATGTGACTGGTCTATTTCAAAACAATTCCTTTTTTTTCAATTCTCAACATTATTTTCTCATTGTTCTCCCCGACTTTGCCCTGGTTATACCTTTTTAAAAATTCTATTACCCCACAGTGGTCGATTAATGAGTAGCTATCCCCGAAGAAGAGCCACAAAGTAGCCGAAAAATATGGCAGTAACCCAGAATTAAGTCGATCCTGGTCTAGCCCCTCCCAGATATCGGTCTGCAGCCCCATGCAGCTATAATATCGTCATATACCGGTCTGATTCGGCCATTATCCCCCCATGATTACAGGGTCTAACGAAAACTTAAACAAACCGATCCTTAAACATCACCGCTGTCGAGTCCGGATGACAGAGTGCAGAGAAATTCATCTCTAAAGCGTTGATGAAAGTATCCTAAACATTCTTTTATTGGGAACTGTTGAAGATGGCTCTGTTATTAACTCGTCAGGGTTCCGGGGTAAATTTGCTCGTACTGCTTTAATTATCCCACAAAATTTGTTCCCAAGAGATACTTAAATCCCATTTCAGGGCGATACATCTCTGGAGATGATTTTCTTTTTTTTTTTAAAAAAAACTACCTGTCATATCGATTCCGGGGACCAGTGTAATGGTCACTCTACCGTGCTTGCTAACAATGTGTCCACACGATAGAGATTTCAGATAAGGTGGGAGAAAAAATGAAGGAGTTTTCGGTACAACATCGACGTCTCGATCCGTGTACCACGGGATATGGATTCGTGACCGTTTTTTAATGAGCTCCATATGCACGACGGCTCCTGCGATCGACGATTAGAACATTCTTAAATACATGCCTCATCGATCAACCCATGATTCGGAGACTGATACTCTGGGATAGACGAAAAACCCGATGGACGTTGACACGGGATAACGTTAATCTTATTACGCGATGATGATACGCGGGGTGAATGATCAGAGGATTGTTAATTGACGGTTGTGTTACTTTTTGTGATTTTCAATTGGAAATATGAAATAGGCCAACCCATTTGTTTTAATACCTGTATTTCTAATAAATTTCAGGGAAAAACGAACAATTTTGCAGCTTGACCACTTCATAAAAGTAAACTTTATATTTTGACGTATCAATTGTGCTAATAAATAAAAAACTGAATGCAAAAAAGGATTCAGCGATTGAATCCTCAATTTAAATAAAACTAACATAATGGAATAATTAATTTAACCATTAATTGTACGGGAAATAAAATCTTACGATTAATTTTCTATTTTTGTTGAACAAATTTCGAATTCGGAAATTGATGAATGATGAAGTTAATTTCGCAAGGAAAATTCTGACAAAACCAATTTCACAGTCTGTTAATATTGGCACTAGATGTGAGAGGTATTACCCGGAGGTACGCGTGTGGTAAGCGATAAATTATCGGAGGAGGGAGGGAAGGAGGGGCGGATGAGATTGATTGTCTGAGACAAATAGAGCCAATAGGGCTGGGTACGTGGGTGAAGTGTCGAT